TTTCCACTCTAAGATCTCGCCATAAGTGCTGACGAGATTTGTAAGCACCAGGTGTGCCGCTTGCTCATCTATTTTACTTTAAAAAAGGATATTTTACATCTTTCGAAAATTTCTGTACTTACTCTCTTAGACTAAACGATAAATCGATTGAAGCCTAGTAAAAGGTTAAGTCACATTTTACAGAATTAAAGGAAGTTAAGCCTTATAAGTTTCTAAATTTTCATTCCTATGTCTAATGGTGTTATGTGACTAATTTGTCTTTTTAAGTTCTTTGAAAAGGTGTCTCATTTTGATGTTAAGAATGGTGTCATAAAGATTTCTCTCGCCTTCTTTGCATCCCTTCGTAGTGTAATGGTCAGCACACTGGACGTGTATTCGAGAGGTCGAGATTCGAGTCCCAGCCAAGTCATTGCTCATTTCTTATGTCTCCTGCTTTGAAATAACCTAATGTCTGTACAGTCTTATTTCAGGTATTTCAGGTAGGCAACACGAGTTCACTTCGGGTCACTCAACAAATAACGCTGTTTAGAATTTAGTACATCACGCTGCGATAGTGTTCTTTTTGAATTATTTCTATAGTAGAAAATGAGCGACACAGATATTTAGATTATCATATACGTATTTAAAGGATGCCCACAAGGCTTATGCTGCAACACAACGGCATGCAGTCTAATTGAACAATATTCTTCCAACCTGTATTAAAGTTTTTTGCTATGCTAATGGTCTTTTATGTGTTTTTTTTTATGTAATCTTTAGAAAAGATTAAAATTTAATATCTGATTTACTTATTAGATGAGCTAGGTAACAGAAATTAAAAGGTGCGGCCATTAATTCCCAGGACTGATCTAATAACTCCATAAATATGTATGAAAGCAGTACCCATTTAATATGTTTTGGAAGCAACACTCACCTGACGTAATGCACATCTGTGCTCCACTGTATAACTTTCAGGAACAACTTATAAACTACTCTTTAGGAATGTTCTTTAATGTGAACGTTATCTTTTTTTATGGATTTGGCATTCTGAAATCTTGTTCCCTTCAGCCAATTTTTCAGTTTTGAAAACAAGATAAGTCTGATGGGGCTAAATCCGGAGATTATGGAGGATGCTGCATTTCCATGCCCTCATGCTGCATCAAGAACCGTTTCACAGGTAAGGCAATGTGAGATCGGGCATTGTCATGCAAAACAGCCGACTCCTATTCTGTCGAAAACAAAGCCTTATTCTGCGAACTCTTCGCCGAAGCCTTACAAGAACTTTTGTATAAAACTGCTAAGTGACAGTGTTCGCAGGAGAAACAAATTCATAGTGAGTCAGTTCTTTGCTATCGAAGAAAGCGATTAACATTACCCTGATTTTGAATTTTTTAAACCGAATTTTTTCGGTCTTTTTGAGCTTGGAAACAGACATTTAGAGCTCTCTCGTTTGCTTTCAGGCTCATATTTGGTAGCACCAAAACTCGTCTCCCGTTACAATAGAATCCAGGAAAGCAGGGCCAGCGTCAGCCTTGTCGATTAGTTCACAGCACGAGTCCATTCTGAATTGCTACTGTTCCTCCGATAAACAGTGAGAAATGAATCTGGAGAAAACTAGGTTTTGCGTCAAAATTTGCCGAACCAACTCCTTGGAAATATTCAGTTCATTAACGAGTACTTGAATAGTTCAGCCAATCAGCCAACTCGAATAGTTAATCGGTGATTCGAAGTCACAAGCTAACGAACTTTCTCAAATGTGTGCGGCCGCCCAGTGTTCGCGTTGGGGGGGGGGATATTATAAAGAAAGAAAATAATAGCTTTAAAAATATAGCGGAAGGTTTTAACCCTAAAGATTATGAAGTACAAACTCCTGAAGTAAAAACGTATGTGAGGAATTTTCTTTGATTCTAAATTTATTCAGAAATAACACTTAAATTTTTAATTTATCCCATGTATGTGATCAACTTGTAGAGATAATTAGGTATTTTTTTGGAAGCAGGAAAGATGAAAATTTAACAACGCCTTCGCCGGGAATCGAACCGCGGACTCTCAATAGCGCGCTGAGCGTGCAGACTACCACACCACGAAGGCATGCCAAGAAGGCGGGAGAAATACCTTATAAACTTATGCATGTGACTTATAATTTTGAAGAATATAATTATGCTTTATCTAATATCATGGAATTCACTTTTTTATTCTCAGAAAATTACGTGAATTAATCAATGAAGAAGAAGATTAAAAAAGAAAAGAAAGAAAAAAAAAAAAGGAAAAAATAGCACTAAAAATTATATATGATTTTATGGATAAACAAAAATGGATTTGGTTTTTTTTTTTTTTTTTTTTTTTTTTTTTTTTTTTTTAGACTTTAAAAATATTCTCCTAATAAATGAAAAATCTCAGTATGTTTAGAAATTTAATTCTTTTCAATCATGAAATTTCCTTTAAAAGTGATATAGGCGGAGCTATAATTTGTGAAGAATTAATTGCATTATAGAAAAGCTATAAATAGTTTGTCCTTATATCATTAGTTCATACATCCTTTCATAAATTAAGTAAATTAATAAAATTCTTCAAAAATTTATGAAAATGGAGAAAAAGATCTAAAATTTCTAAATTACGCTAAAGCTAACCTTCAGGAAGACACTGATTTTTGAAAAATCTTTAAAAAACTACTAAATAATGAGTTTATAAAACTACTAAATAAATGAGTGCCAGGTCATACCAGAAATTAAGAAATTCAGAAATTAAAAGATTTATCCCCGGCTAAATATCCGTTGATATCTTTAAAAAAAAATCACAGCAAAATATGGTAAAATGATAAAATCGTAGCGAAATTAGAAAAAGGAATATTACCTTAAAAAATATATTAAAAAAGATTTCCGATGATGATATCGAAAATGGAATTGATTTGCAGAGGTTTGAAAAACGATAAATACTTTGATTGTATAATAATAAATTTATATATTTCACCCTCTGAGCGTTATGAGCGGCTTTATCCGTTCATCAGAAGTTTTGCTACTTGGTATATATTATCTTATAATTTAAGATAATTTGCTTTCTTACTTTCTTTAATAATGTAAATATCTTAATGAATGTACGTTTATGAAAATACAGACTAAAATAAGTAATTTAGAAACTCAATTAATAAATGCTGTTTAAATACCGGTTTTCATGACGAATCTAAAATGCTGCGCCGCTGAGAGGGTTAAAGCTGCGGTAGCACTTAAAAAAAAAAAAAAAAAAAAAAAAAAAAAAACTTCGAAAGAATGGGCTTATACCTTAAATTCTAAAAATGGCTGCCATGTTAGTATGAAAAGTATCACATGCTTGAAAAGGGCAATCTGAACTCTCGACTAAATGTTTTGGGAGAAACTTACACTTTTTTGGAGAGTGAACCTCATTGTTCAGATCTGATATAAAGTTGAAGTTAAGAACATAACTCTAATTTTATAACTTAAAACTCATCCCTAATGTAAAGCAGAAGGATTATCCCAATAAGACAGAACAGCATTAGCTCTGGCACTTACCGCTACAATGCATTCCTGATTAAATGACTCATGTGCAATCCATAGAGAACATGCACAGAAAAATGAAGGTGAAGCAACACAGGGGTAGACATGGTGGGGCCCAGGTTTGGTTTATTTGATTGTGGCAAAGCCCTCCAGGGCTATCTGCCTAAGGGGAGGTCTTCGTGGAGAACTTTCTAAGGAAAATCGGCTCTTATACACGTTGCTCATGGAGAAAACCACGAAAATCATCCTGCAGCAAGCCCCTTCGTCGGTATTCCAACCCAGGACTGAACTAGCGGTATTCAGCGATTTTACCACTCAGCCGCTGGTGAGTAGTGGAGCCCAGAAGTGGAGAGACAAGATTTCATGGATGAATTAATGAATACACCGAATTCAAATTTGAAAAGCAAAAAATCTACGTAAAATTTTAATATTATTTTAATTAAGCACTTTTTTAAACAGTCAACTATGTCATTCATTCAAATCCTTTGAAAAGCGCGTTTTAAACGTACTCGTATATAAATTACAATTTTTAAGTCATTTACAGAATTATTTTATTTTCAAGTCATTTCATGTTTCCTTGGTGGTATCTTATATTATTTAACATGAATAATGAGTAGTGAAATCCGTTGTGAAGAGAATTAAGCAAGTAATGTAGACTACATACTGGTATAAATATATAGCTTTCAGAGGAGGGTGTATTGAGAGGAAACAGGTAAACAATTACTAATTTCTCAGTTTCTTAGTCAAAACTCTTGATCACCCTTCGCAACATGAGTAATGAAAAATATTTCGTTTTCATTTCATTTTATGAGACAAAAAAATGGATACAGTTAATATAAGTATTTATGAACAGCTTTATGAGGTCCATTCCACATGCCTTTGTGGTGTAACTGGAAGTACGCTCGAAAAATTCTGTGACTACTCTACAGTGGCGCCCGAACTAAGAGGCTTTTGGCGACGAGACTGGGTCACCTTATCCCCAGTCGCCCTTTGAAAGGGGGAGTATCTAAATTATTTTCTCCCTCCTTTCTCAATGCCTTTGGGGTGTAACTCGAAGCACGCTTGACACGTATTCAAGAGGTCCGGAGTTAGAATCTAGGAGAGGGCACTGCGCAATTTTCATGTTCCTCTATCGATATAATCTAATAACTCTACAACTTCTACAATTATTTTAATTCACTAAATGGTGAAAAAAATTTCCGTTTGAAATTCCAAGGTTGTATAGAATAAAAATTATGTGCGACATGTTGAATAACGCATAAACAATCCAAAAACAAACATTCGATTTTTTTTTTTTTTTTTTTTGTTTGTTTGTTTGAAATGAAGAAAATATGTAAATTACGTCAAAACGAATGTATTTTCTCCTTCTGAGACAACGTATGGTACAACGGCAGAGCGAAGTCCGGTGTATAATCAAATTTTAGATAAAAAATTCTATCGCATTAAGATAACAACAATAAATTCTTCTTTAATCTCAAAAAAAAACATTATTTCAGCACATACAATGACACATTTAAATCCAAGAAGAATGATACTGTAAGATACAATTTTCCTTATATTTTGTTGTTTCTAGAAATAGGTTTTCCTTGCTTACAATTTCCGTGCTTATTTCTCTCTCAGAAATATGTACTTTGTACCCATCGTACTGCTTGCATCCTGCGCAACTTTAGGTAAGCGTAATACCTCATATATTTTGTTCTGTTTTAAATGCTAAATATTGCTTCTGAAAGCAATTATTTATTATATCTTCCGAGCTCAAATAAGAGGTAATAATAACAAGAAAAATTTTACCTTTTTACTAAAGATTTATTTCCTGGGTTGCAAAATTGTAGATTACAACACTAAACCTCTAAACATAAATTACATCCCCATAACAAAATTTATTAGTTTTTTAATTACACAAACTGTGAATCATTCTTAACTTTTGTAATTATGTAAACAAATATCTGATACAATGTATCACACACTGTTGCATAATCTCAAACTGATACTGCCTCATCAATCTCAGAAACACTAATTTGAATTTCTTAAATGTGAAATTTTATGCTTGATATTTTCCATCCTTTTTCTTCAACTGTCCAGCTTCACGACGGGGCGCATATTTATGCCTATTAAAGATTTTGTAACCATCTAGCTAATTAGAAAAACTTTTTTCTGTAAACTATTGATACATTAGATCACTATAAAGTAGAATACTGAGAATCATATGCGAATTTAAAGCTAAATATTACCCAATCTTCCAAATCAGTGCTGAAGCAACAACAAATTACACTCTTAAACAAACAAAACAAAACAAAAAAAAAAAAAAAAAAAAAAAACGACGCACCGAGAAGGTATAAAGCAAATTGGACACAAATTGATACGCATATAGGTTTCGACGGAAAATGCAAAATTTTACATTTTGGCTGCTAATGAATGAACAGTTGTCGCTACAACGCATCTGATCTGCGCTACTGGCAACATATTTAAGAGGAGAAATTACGATTTCAGGTCATAAATTCTTTACGAATTTCATTCCGTGTACTCTGGTAGACAGTAACTATGCCTCGCATACATGTGCACAGATGTCAGAATTTGAGAGAGGTCGTGTAGTTGGACTCAAAGAAGCCGGTTGGTCTTATCGGCGAATAGCTCGACATTTGAGCAGGAGCGATGCCACTATTAGACGATGTTGGCAGTAATGAGTGAACCATGGCCACACACAGCGTCAAGAAGGAAGCGGTAGGCCTAGAGAAACGACAGAACGTGAAGACCGAGCAATCGTGAGAGCGGCACTCGCAGCCCCAGATGCATCATCATCAATTGTACGTGCAACTAGTGCTTTAGTGACAGCAAGGACCATTCATAGAGAGCTCGCAGAAAGGGGGCTAAGGTCCCGGGGCCCCTTGCGCCGACTACCATTGACCTCTGTACAACGTCAAGCCCGTTTGCAGTGGTGTCGGGCTCATTCGCACTGGAATGTCACTGACTAGAATAGAATAGTCTTCAGTGATGAGTCCCGCTTTGAACTGAGCCCCGACGACCAGCGAAGGCGAGTCTGGAGACGCCCCGGACAGCGGTGTGATACCAACCTGACTGTCTTCCGGCAGACAGGCCGACAACCAGGTGTGATGGTCTGGAGAGCCATTTCATTTCATAGTAGGACCCCTTTGGTTGTCATCCGTCGCAACCTTACAGCACAGCGGTACGTTGACGAAGTTCTAATGCCCGTTGTGTTGCTCTTCATGTCACGCCCCCACATTGCACATGTTTTTACTGCTTGCCTTAGTGCTTGCCGAACATTACCTTGGACAGCATTACCTTGGACGGATCTCTCTCCTATTGAGCACGTTTGGAGCATTATGGGCAGGGCCCTCCAACCAGCTCGGGATTTTGACGATCTAACGCGCCAGTTGGACAGAATTTGGCACGATTTCCCTCAAGAGGACATCCGCAACCTCTATCAACCGATGCCAAACGGAATAACCGCTTGCATAAGGGCCAGATGGGGACAAACGCGTTACTGACTTTTTCACTTTGTGAAGCTCTATGACTTCAATAAATCATGCATTTTTTCTCAAACTGTACTCATTTGTTTTGCTGTACATGTACGTCACTTCTACCGATTTTCGTCCCATTCAGACAACTCCTTCTTAGTGCGGGTTTCCCCCCCCCCTGAAAGTGTAGATTCTAAAACAACGGGAATCTTTACTGACTGACAGTGTGAAATTGCTGTTTATTTGCCTGAGCAAATTTTTAACTTTTTGAATACCATAATCTTTCTTACTTAGCGCTAGGCTATGCTGCAGACGTTCTAGACGCTGTAACAGTCCGAAACTGCGGAAAGTCACTGTTTCCATCACCCGCTCTTGACCGTATTGTTGGCGGAAAGAAGGTACGTCCTGGACAATATCCCTGGATGGTAAGTTTCCTCGTCACTGCTGAAATTTACTTTTTTCTTTAGTAACAGTTCTTTAAATGAAATTCAGAATCTCATTACACCAGAACGAATGAATATAGTTTGTACGTTCGTTATAACTTCTATTTCGTAGGTTTCATTGCAAGAGAGAGATAGATTTGGTTTCGAACACGCTTGTGGAGCTGCCATTTTGAATGAGAACTGGGTTGTAACGGCAGCCCATTGTATTGATTAGTATGCATTTATATATTCTCTTCTCTATTGTAAACTAAATTTTCTTTAAATGACTCCTTTAATTGTTACTTTCATTAGTCCTAGATCTCCAAAAATGTATCGGATCTTAGTTGGACTTCATAAGTTATCCGAAGAGGATGCTCCAACTGTACAACGTATTACGGTATGTAGCCATTTTTGTTATGTTTTCATAAACTGAACGTCTTCTACGTACAATGAAAATATTTTAGTTTAACTAAATTCCCCTTATTTTACGGCAATGTTGTGGCTGAGATGATTTCTCTGTGAGTGAAATCACTGTCTCTCAAGACGTTATGCTTGCCGTTGAACTAAACTCGCTAAGCAGACTGAGTACCTCATGCTCTCTATATTCAATTTCTACTATGATCACAGAATACAAACTATAAGAAACTCGTATTCTAATTAAGTAATGTGGGTCTGTACTTTGAGAATAAATTATTAAAAGTCGATGTTTATGTCAAGCATATCCTTTCTTTTGGAATTAGGTAGAGAGGCACCTGATTTCTTACATCAATGAATTAATATTCTAAGGTACTATACTGAACGCAGTATAATACTTTAGACATTATATTATATGAATACCAAGTAAATAAAAATAATTCTCTATTACAATGGAGTCTAGTTTTTCTAATCCAAAGATAACTTTTTCAATAACAATTATTTTGCGAATTTCCATCTTATTTTTAAACTTTCAATGACATACACACTTTACTTTTTATACTGAAGTCAGGAATAGAATAACTCAAGCCAAATTAGATAAAATCGTTAATAAAAATGTAAATTGCATTAGAATTGCAGTTTTTAATGACATTTATACTGGTGACATATATATTCACTAAGCACATTGTGGGACATGAAAAAGTAACCCACCTTCGGTACTAGTGCTGCGGAAAGGGGATAAATTTTCGTACGCCGCCCTGTAAGATATTCATACAACTCAATAACTATAATTATAAAATATTCCATCTGGATTTGGAGTTCGAGATTAGTTAGTAATGGGAACTTTTTTTCTGTTAGATTTTTATAGTTTTCACATTTATTAAAGCCAGAGTCAAAAGTGATTGCATCTGCAAGTGTTTTAAGGTCTTATTTCTACAGTACTAAACTGAAATATATTACTGTCTTGTTATGCAGTCCTATAGCAGGAAATAAGTTTCTTAACTTGATGTGTGAGAATAAGTAAATAGCTGTTGAACTAAGTGAGCTTCCTTTCTGTGCTAGATATTCTTAGGGTTTTTTAATTCAAAAGTTTCTCCATTAATGCATCTCACTTCATTCAGGTATGTTACATAAGACAGTACAGTCAATTTACAAATTATAATTTTATCAAATAGAAATGGATCCATAACATGCTAGCTTCCTGTAGCTTGTCTTCTGGGATGGAGATGCACAATGCGAAGCTTATCAAAACAACCTCTCTGTGCTTTCCCCCTTGAACTGCCTAATGCTTGACAGTCGTTGAAAACTAGTTTAGTTTTTTGTCTGTTGAAATACGCGAAACAGAACGTTCACTTATCCCCACCGAATTTAATGTTTGAAGTCAAATCCGACGTATTTATAAAATAATTCTAAACACTTCGTTAACTCATAAAAGTCTAGAAAAAAGGTTCCGTTCAGAAAACTGCCGATCTCATTGTGCAGTGGCAGTTTTAATAAAATCTTAAATAATTCTGAATTAAGTATGCCTAATAATTAAGACACAATAACACGCCGAACAAATACTAATTCAAAAGTCAAACAACAAAAATCAGCTTTATATTTTCAAAATTTTCACAGGACTAGTTTCGATGGTTTTTTCCGAACCACCATCCTCAGCTGCAAAGGCGCAAATGAACAAAATACGAAAAAATGGTTAGATAAGATAAGAAAGCCTGGACAAGAAAAAGCAAGTGGCGCCCTCTGTTGATGAAACCAGAACTAAAACATAATTTCTTTAAAGGCCGAAGGCAAAGATGGATTGGAATTAAAATCGTTAACTAGAACAGAAAGATTTTTGAATGTGAAATGCCTCTAGAAAATCCAGTTCTCCAATGGAAGATGTTTTTTGAATACTTTTGGCAGCAGAAAATTGAAAGTGTGATTTTTGGACCAACAATGTTGAGCAACAGAAGACTTCTGTGTTTCCTTTTTTCTAACATATGCCTCATGTTCCTTGACGCGAAATTTTAAGGCTCTCTCTTAGTTTGGCCAATGTAAATTAAACCACACTGGCAAGGAATCCTATAAATACCCCAGGAATTCATATCCGGAATGGGGTCCTTGAGTATGGAAGTTCGGAATTTTATTGATGGGAGAATAAAAACAACCCGAAAGTTAAATTTCTGCAAAATATGTGCAACTTTATAGCTAATTGATGGAAAGAAGGGAATGACAACAGAATTTTTATAATCTCCTAAAATAAGAGTGTGCCTTTTAGTGTGTTGAGATGAGAATTTTTTAACTGCTTGATTAATAATGTTGGGTGAAAAGCCCCTGTCAATAGCTATTGCCTTTAAATAATTTAGTTCTTCATCAAAGGATAGTTTGGAGGAGCAAACTTGAAGAGCACGGAAAACATAGGAATAAAATGAAGCTAACTTTTGTTTAGTCGGATGACATGATTTAAAGTGTGGTGGAAGGCAAACCGATGAAGGTTTACGGTAAACTGTAGTACTGAAGTTGGATGTGTTACGTGTGACCAGAATGTCGAGAAACGGAAGAGAATTGCAAGTCTCAAGTTCAAAAGTGAACTGAATAGCAGGATCAATAGAATTCATTGTTTAAAGAACTCTATTTAAATCATCTTTATTACCTTCAAACAGGGTAAAAGTATCGTCTACGTAGCGGAACCATGCCGGGAAGTTTAAAGTTTCAAACAATTTTGATTCATAATAATGCATGTAGATATCAGCCAGGATGGGACTGAGGGGGCTTCCCATGGCTAATCCCTCAGTTTGCTTGTAATATTTATTTTGGAAAACAAAATGTGTTTGTTTCAAACAGAGTTGAGTGAGAGAAATTAGCTCATCAATTTCGATGCAAGAGAAATGAAATTCGCGAAGTCTGGTTTCTAGACATCTTAATGCACCCTCCACTGGAACATTGGTGAATAATAATTTTACATCAAAAGAAACCATGAGTAAATTACTAGGAGAAATGTTTTTAACCTTTTTTACAAACTCTATTGAATTTTTTATGGTGTAATATGTTATTGTCTAATAGAGTTGGAAAATCTGGAAACTAAATAATTAGCTAATGGATACGAGGCAGTACCTAAATTTGATACAATAGGGCGGGGAAAGGAATACCACTTTTATGAATTTTGGGAAGAGCATATAATCTGGCACAATTCGCAACAGATGGGATAAGCGAATGTTTTAAGTTGCTTGAAATGATTTATGAAGATTTGATCTCAGTTTTTATTTCTGACAAGTCCGAAGGTGAAGGATCTTTAGGGATCGGATTATATGGCCCTTCGTTTAAGAGTTTAGTGACACCATCGATGTAAGTGTTCTTATCCATGACGACTATCTGGCCACCTTTGTCGGCCTTTGAAATGATAATATCCGGATTAGAATGAATTTCGCGCATTATAACTCTTTCTCTCGCAGTTAGATTTGGTTTCAAAGGTTCCAAAATAACTAAAATTAGTTATTTATTAACTTGTTTAGAGATTTAAAGCCATTTTCCCCATGCAAGTCTGTGGCATAGCAATTAGCATACCCTTTCGACACAGCGAAAGTTCTGAATTTGACTCTGAAGGAACGCAAAGTGAATCTTTCAGCTCACTCTAAAGTGAATCTTTCAGCTCTCCTATTCTTTCAGAATTCTCACTCGTTTAATTTTGTGGATTTCACATTAAGCTCCTTTTCCATGATCTAATTAAAAGAGCGTATATGCATTTAAAAGTCTTTATTACGGTTGCTTAAAAAAATAACTTAGCATTTTTGTTCTGAACGTATTATAATATAAAACTGTTCGTGATTCTTTTACAAAAGTGAATATTTCAAAAATGCACAAAAACTATTTACAGTATTCTCTTAAAATTAACGCCTCTGAAAATCGGAGCTCGAAGCGGAAAAAAACATGCCATTACTTCTACGTTGAAAACGAAGACCCAAAAAAGATATACGTTATTTCTTATGCTTCTAAAGTTAAATCATTAGTAACAAGAACGCAGAAATCAATTTAAGTCTTTAAATGTATCTGTAGTAACAATAAATAAAATAAGAAACCAAGATTTACAGCTTAAAAAAGCGAAAAAAACTTAATATTCCCCAGCTTTTGCCGAGGAATGTGGATCAGTGCAAAACTATTTGTAGAACCCTGCAAACTGTTTAGCAGAAAATAAATGGGAATATATTGTGAAACATAGGTTTACCTAAATGATGAAACATAGGTTTACCTAAATGACTACAAGAATAGTCTACTTTTGATGGAAAACGCAGAGAACAAAATGTGGAAACGTAGTTCCGTCAATTTTCAAAAAAAAGCTTCAGTAAGGGATTCACGATTGTTGAAGTATTCTCTTACAGTGGGAAATTAAAAATAAGAAAAATGGGAAAAAATTTTCAAAATAAGGACTATCAAGAGAATGTCTTAGCTCCGTTATTTAGAGCCGAAATTCCAGTCCTTTATCAAGTGACTTTCAAAGAACAAAACAATAAGTAATATTTCAAAAAGTACTATAGCATTCCTTAAACAAGTAAAGACTAGTTACAGGTAAGACATATATACCTTTTTTAATGTAATTCCGCGAAGTCCTCCTGCCGTTTCACCTATGGATTAATGAGCCTATGGTTTCTTGAAAACAGTTTTCCAATCGCAAACCCACTGCGATTGACGGAGTTTGAAAAGCAGCAGATGAGAAATGGAAATTAATACCCCTGAAAATTTTATTAAAAAAAAAGCTCTTTAATCATAGAAAAAAGGATGTTAGCTTATAGTCCAGAAGAAAGACTATCAAATCAAACATTTAAAAAAATACTGTTTAGAAATTAAACATTAATTTAACAGCCCCAAAATCGTTCTAAAAATGGGTAAATTCCCTCTGTACATGAGTCAGCTGTTCTTATGACTTAAAGATAACGCATGCCGTTTTTTATGTTAGCAAAAGATTCTTTGAAATATGCTAATACTTTCTATTCGACAGGATACATTAAGTTTGCAAATGAATTAAATTTCAAAACTCTATGAATCGGCTTTTTATAAAATTAATAAGTAACTTTTTAGCTGGTGTAGACAAAAATTGATTCTCTCAAATATGCTGTATATTATGCTCTTACTTTACTAAGTCTCATTTCACCTCATTTTTATTTCATAACGCAAAATAATAAGAATTTTAATGTGAGATTTCTTCAAGTAATTTTTCTTTCACCCAGAGACCGAAATCAGACTAAAGCTTTTATTTTTCATGAAATAAATGAATAAATCTATCAACAAATAAATGCAACCTTTCGTCATGTGATAAAATCATTCAACCATACGCCACCTTAGATGGTACGGTAGTTAGTGTGCCGATTGTTTACCAAGTCACTGGATTTGGACTCGAATTCCTAGTTAGGAGTGGACGTTTGCGAACGTAGAATTTTTGAGGAATGGCAAGAGCTATGAGAAACTCTTAGATTCCATCTGCAAAGGTTCTCTGAAAAATTAATCAACTAATACCTGCTAATTCGTACTACAGTACACATGCATCCTAGTTGCATCATCCTAGAAAACTGCTAAATTGCGGTAAATTTTAGTATTCGTGATATGGAATCTCCTTCTACAATGGAATAGTTTTACCAAAACCAAAAATGTAGGCTTACTTTGCTATGGATTATTATGCCTATTTTGTAAGTTGCTTTTGGTGACTTTTATATTGTTCTTTAATTATTCTGCTGCTTTTGAAAAGCTTTCTCTCTTAACTAGTCTTTCCATTTAAAGAAATCTTAAGCTTTGGTCCTTGAAAAAATTTCGTAACGCGGTTTTGATATTTTTAAGAGATGTATTTTGTAAGAATATGTAGGGATATTTTCTACGACTTTCTAAACTGCTTAAATTATTCACGTTGTCTCGTATACATGTAAGATTACAAAAAAAATCAAAACATTACTTTAATTTTCAGCAGCCCCTTAGTTCCCCTTTTTAATTTGGTTTTTGCCCCTTTCTCTTTTACAAATAATAATTGCTTATAATAAATCTCTCTAAACTGCTTCATTTCAAAATTTATTCCTGTCATAAGATTCTCGTGTAACGCCAATATCGCAAATACTTACACAAAGCTTCAGCGGATAATAATTTTACAAAATTATTTTTACCCAATTAAAATATAATCATTCTCTGTCAAGATTTCATCTTGAACATATTGCATTTTCTCTCTCTCCCTTCACTACTGCGAATTTGCTGCTGTTTCTTTCTTTAAATATATTTCAAAATATAGAAACTACCGATATAGCTCTTCAAGAACAGGCCCTTATAGCTCCAGTTTATCCCAGCTGGCTTAAAAAAAGTTTGTCAACTAGAATAAAGCAATAATGAAATTGACACGACTTTCTGGTATCTTTCATGGAACTAACTACTCCTTTATCTAAATTATTTCATACATATAACTTGCATCTGAATTATTTCATACATATGACTTGAATCTAAATTATTTCAGACATATAACTTGAAATAATATTATAATTAATATAATATGAAAACTATATTCATATTTATTATTTATCATTATTATCATCATTGTGATAATTTATTCTATTTCTAACCCTTTTTAGGTATCCAAAATTGTCATTCATGAGGGCTACGATATTGGAGATGATGACGCTTACGACGATGATATTGCGCTTCTTCAAACTGCGAAGCCTATAGACATCAAAGGCTCCAAAGGTTATGTGAATGGTATTTGCTTACCAAAAAATAAAGCTGATCCTACAGGATATGCAACGGTCATAGGATGGGGGCATACCAGAACAGGTATTCAATTATTTCCATGGTACGGAAACATGCAGCAATCGTAAAAAATTCAGAAATCTGAACTTAAATAAATACTGGAAAAAATAAATGCTGAGAGTTGTCAGCAAACAATTGTTGAATGACATGGCAACAATATTTAAGGATTTATCAAAATCCTGTCGTGTATATTACAATGTGAGTAATATAATTTGGCATACAGTCAGAAACGAATAATTTCTTCGATGTATGATTTAATTTTAATAATTTTAAAGCCAAAGCTCTCACGGAGAAAAATGAAGCAGAAGGTCTTACGACGATCAAAGAATTTAGTTTGTATGTACCTTTTGCAAATAAATCCTTTGAAACGAACTTATACGTCAGCAAAGTTTTAGGATTAAATTTTTTAAAACAATCTGAGTGATGCCATCGAACAGTAACTTGAGGCAATAGCTAATAACACATCTCAGATTGTTTCCATTTACATACTGTCCGCTAACGGAAAGAAGTTTAACTGGGATTTTTTCTTTGATTTTATGCAACCCATACCTGCTGATATGGGTTCAGAATTTAAGCAGGGCGATTTATTTCGCTTTGTTTGCCCTTACCAGTGGCCGAGTGGTTAAGACCACTGACTCATTGGAATCAGCTCGACTGCGATACCAGGTGAATGAGCTGGTTGCGTAGTTTCTTTTCATGGTTTTCGCATGTGTGTGTAAGAGGAATTCGAGCCAACTTCTCCTAGAAACTCCTCCACGACGGCGTCCCTTCCCTAAGGCAGACAACTCTCGTATGCTTTGTCATATTCATATAACCTAACCTAGTTTCTTTCACTTACCAATATATTCAATTATTCGCAAAGAGTTTTAAAACTACCTCCATAATTATTTTCATTTTAATCGCTGTACTCTCAATGCGTTATTCACGAATGAAAGGTACAAAAAAATTTTAGTTCTCAATTGAAAGTTCTTTGCTTATAAAATTTTAAGTTTTTGTATTCCATTTATGCCGCTAAAACGCATACATTCATTGAAAACGAGACAAAAGATTGAGTATAGGTTTTTTATTGCAGATTCGATGTATTTCAGTCTTTCCAAGACCTGCTTAAAGCTTATGAATATTGCAGAAAGAATTTCTTGATTATTTCTTACATTATTACATCTTTTATATTTATTGCAATAATGCTGAAAATGTTCATAAAAATTATTAGTTGAGCAGATTACGAGTTAAACATATTTTAAATAACGCCGATTAGGTGTATTATTTAAAAAATAAAATAATTATTCCCGATATTGAGAAAAATGGTTATTGCCATTAAATTGCTTAGTTTATTGAGCAGTTTACGGATTAATTAAGTTTGAAAAAGGATTTAATGATTTGTGGCTACGAGCAAGATAAATTAAATCTTACTTTCGCAGCAATGATAACATTTCCTAATGTAACAGTTTCGTTATTGCGTTACGCTGCTGTACATAAATAATCTATGCTTCAAAAATTTTTGGAAAGACTGTTAAGAATACGTCCACCGTCAAAACCGAAACAAAGCTTACAGACGCTTATTGTTCAAGAAATTTTAAACAACGTTATTCAACTTTCTTCTGATGTTTTGATCAAAGATTCAGACAACGAAATACAACGTTAAGGAAATCACATGTATGCATTGCAATGCTATCTAGCGTTTGTTAATGCAGAAAAATTATATTTTTATATGTAAAACAATTGTGGCCAAGACAACATTTCGAAAAGAAGGCACCCTGAAGAAAGGGGAAAAAAATTTGCTGCTTTGCTAGCTTATAATATTGATTTGTTTCCTGCATGGTTAAAACGACTTATTATTGCATTAACTATTTTATTAAGTGTTACGAATTTTGAGATTTATGTAAGCAGCCCGCCCCTGACATTATGACTTTCATTCATCTTTTCGTAAAAATACATGTTATTTATTTAAAGTTACTTGTTAAAAATTAACTCTTTCTGTATCAGATATCAATTATTATTTCATGGGGTAACTTTTGCCTTATAAAAGCGAAGACGGTGTGTTTTAAAACTGTAAAAATATTTATGATTGGTGAATTTGAAACAGAAATTAAAAAAGAAATATGTTATTATATTGGCTGTTGCAAATTTATACCATCTCTGTTTAATTAAAACTAAAATATAAAAAATACTAATTAATGAAATAATTAATAGACAGAAAATTTAATTAGATCTTCGGATTCTTCTAATATTTTTCTTCTCGATGATTCATTTGCGTTCTAATAAAATCAGATCCGAGAACTCTCTTAATTGTGTTATTGTATATAATTTGTGTGGACCCCTATGATAATTATATTCTTGATAGCCTAGTTGCTGTTTAATAAGAAACTGTACAATATCCAGTTGTAATCAGAAACCAAAAATGCAGTATAATATGAAGTCTACACCTGTTTTAACGAAAGCTTGAGCCAAAAGAAAAGATTTTGACTTAAAATTGGGCATTTTGCTCTTAAACCTGTAGTAGCTAGGAATTTCTTTACATTACTTTTTAATATTTAATCAAAATAGAATATAAATTTGAAATTAGTCAATCATTACATCTGAAGCTTCTTTATTTGTTCATATCTGATTACAACATTTACTATAATCACATTAAAATGATCATGAATAAATATCAGTTACTTTTGTAGTATATTTCATTTGCCATTTATGATAAATAACATAAATGTCGACTACCTTATCATAAATATTTGACCTTTGAAGGTTCAGTCGCTTTCCTTTCTTCGTCTATAGCAACGTTGCCGTGTCATTAAGGAGATGCTGATAAGCCATCCTTCTTTATTGTTTGAACTTAATGTATACTTCTACTCCCAGATAACCGGCTAAAGAGCTGTTATAATACAAAGCTTTCTCAGAGGTATTAGATTACCAGAAGAATGCCTCCAAAAGCAGATACTAAATTCAGATGTTTATAGAAGATATTTATAGAATTCGTTAGCAAGATATTTTGCTATCTATTTGACTTAAAAATGAAACAAGCTACTCCTTAAACTTTTTATGAAAAACATGTATGTAACTAAGAAACACAGTAATGTAAAAAACAAGGCTTAAATTCATGTCTAAACCTTAAAATAATGAGCCCTAAAAAATGTAGTGGCCTATATTAGATATTATCAATCATTTAACAACATCTTAGATAGATGTAAGTAAAATAAATCCCTACAGAACTCCAGAAATATTTGAACTTTCACACGATCGTCTCTCAGAACCGTAAAAACTCGGTATTTTAAAGATAGCAGTTTATTCATTTATGCTTGTCGTAATAAGCTCTCATTTATGGTCAATGAAAACTCAAGTTCAAAAATCTCCATTACTCGAACTGACTGTTACTGTATCGAATGACACATCTCACAATTTCATCTAATAGGATAGATTTTTTTGGTTATTATATAAAAAAAGGATCCTCAGTATGTATTTAGTTATGTTAGATTTATTATTTTTAATGTTTTATGTAACATACAGCAAACATCACTTAAAAAAGGAAACTTCATTCAAAATAAGTGAGATTGAGTGTGGGATTAATTATATCATTTTCATAAAAAATAACGTGATTGAAACTATTAAATAGCTTTAGGTATTTACGTAGTTTACCAACGTTCAACATCAAAGTAATTTAGTAAACCATAATTTATGAATTGGATATTTCTTACAGATGGAGAAAACTCAGACATATTGCTTCAAGTTACAGTACCTATAATTCCACGAGACTTGTGCAATGAGTCTTATGATGACGATCTGGAAGATGGCATTGACGAAATCACAGAGTATATGATCTGTGCCGGGTCTAAGGGGAAAGACTCCTGTCAGGTATAAACAGTATATAAATTAGCTTCTGGTTCAATTAATTAATGCTCAAACTCTGTAAAATTTTAACTTGACGAGTAATCAAACCTAGAATTTTTAAGTAAGCAGAGAAGCATACTATATATATATGCATCTAAAAGACCTAGTGTCTAGTACTTTTTTGAAGTTCTTGTAGCCGGTATAATGTTTCCACATTTCGCTTCAGCTTAGATAAGAATGCTTTTTAACCATGTGCAGGGCTATGATAGGAAAAGCTACCTACATCACTCGCCATTCTTCATTAGTTGAAAGCCGCTGCAAAATCAAGAAGTCCACCAAGAAGGCATCCCTCCTCTTAGACAAATAGCCCTGGATTGCTTTGCCACAATCAAATAAACCAAACTAAAACCGCTACAGAGTTTTGTTTGCGCCTAGAATTTATGTATGTTCCTTTCGAACTGCAAGAAAGCACTCTTCCACCACCACCGAACTATTAGCCGCACTTTTCTAAATTTAACTGTAAGGTCGCCGATAGGATGTTAATTTATGATACAGTATTAGATAGTCTTAAATATAAAATAGTCTTAAATATAGTACTACTGACACTTCATGTAATATTAGGTAGTCTTAAATATATTTCAAAATGAGTTTTGTATTTATTTTCTCTTTATGAGCGGAAGAGTAATACGATAAATTTTCATTAATAGCACATAGGATGTAATGAGGCATAAGTAAAATTAACAAATAGCAAAACTTTGAAATGCAGTCAAAAGTTTTGGATTCGACAGGTACAAGAAATGCGCACAAACCTTAACTTCAATACTCTTTGATATGGAACTTTTTATTTAGCCTCAAAATTCCAAATGAAGAATTTCAGCTAAATAGCCTCAGCTAAATTTCAGCTAAATTTTCTTTTTAAGAAAACAAGCTGTCTATTCGTATGAAATTGTCATCAAACAAAGGCTTAAATTTTAAACCTCAACACAGCCATAAAGAGCACAGTTTAAATTAATAAGTTTAAATTAATATTTGCAAATCATGAATATAAAAATCAATAAAATCATATTAAAAAGATAAAACCAACCTTTGAGCAGGAATTTTCAAAGGGTAAATGATGTTCATTTAAAACTGGCCACCTACATCTCAAAGCATTGAAAATATAAGTTTACGACAATTTTTAGTCAATCTTTAACTATTTTTCACTTATCTGACACTGAAGAGGGACGGCGTAAACAGATAAAAATTCAAGTTGGTTGAAAACATGGAGGCATTTGCTACACCATTTGTGACCTAAAATACTGAGCATCAGACTTCTTTAAGTGAAAGCACTCATGGTCGGTACAAGATAGAGTAGCCCACGCCCCCTTAGAAAATGCTGTCTCTGCATTATACTGTATGATGCAGACATTGTAAGCTAAGACGATCACCCAGAGTTCCAGACGAATTCTTTCGAAGAGGTTCACCCACAGCTCTTTCGTAGAGGTGGTCGCCTTAAAGAATATGAAAGCACTCATAGTCGGTACAAGATAGAGTAGCCCACGCCCCCTTAGAAAATGCTGTCTTTGCATTATACTGTATGATGCAGACATTGTAAGCTAAGACGATCACCCAGAGTTCCAGAAGAGTTCTTTCGAAGAGGTTCACCCACAGCTCTTTCGTAGAGGTGGTCGCCTTATTCATGTTGTTCAATTTTTTAATTATGTTCTCGAAATTTCTGATCACTTAGTACTCTTAGGGAGGCAGTTACCATGAAAGGCATTAAATTAAACAAATTTTTCAGTTAGAAAGAAGTTGAACAATTTATCTTTTGTTTGATTGCAAAAAGAAATACTCCTCAATATCCCTACTTCCCTTGGCGATTACCTAGGTTCGCCTAATGGTAAAATTAGCTTGGAAAACTTTTTAGATGCCAGAACATGATTTCCATTATATGAAGTCATCGTCACAATGTTATTAATGCTGTCACATTCAGCTGAATTCTGCAGACATAAATTTCTAAATGAAAGTTTTTGAAAAGTAAATGAATGTTCCTAAATGAAAGTGGTGAATTTGCATAAATCATATATCCATGCATTAGTTGAAAACTTTTTCAGATAATACTGACCACATCTTAAAGCTATTTTTATAAAACAAATGTCAAACAAACAAAAACATTTATAAGTATTTAACATAAAGTATAAACATTTTTTATCATTTTATATATTTAAGCTATTTTTATAAAACAAATCAAAATAGATTTTACGAAATGTAATTTACTTTTTATTTTGAGATGTATATTCTCAGTAGTTTACACTCATTTCTAACGTATCTTTCATAACACCTAGATAATGAATGAATGAGTAAAATACTTCGTTTGGCACAAATCGAAGAGCATTTGTAAATATTATGTAATTGCGAGCCTTGCCAGGAATTCGAAAACAGGATGATTCGCATAGTAGCTACTTTGACTTGCTATGTCAGTCATGCCAAACGTGACAACAAATATTTGAAATGTCTCGCTTTGTTGAAATATCAAACATTAATGAAAGCAACACTTTGTAATACAATACTATTAAAATGATTGTTAACTATTTTATCATGAAAGTATTATGTACTGTATTGATTTTTTTCATTTTTTTATTTATTTATTTATTTTATTTTTTTTATTTATTTTTCTCCAGAATGACTCAGGAGGCCCTCTTTTCCAGACTGACAGCAGAGGCGTTGCAACTCTAATAGGCGTTGTGTCGCATGGTGCTGGATGCGGATTAAAGTTCTATCCTGGTGTTTATACAAAAGTAGCTATGTATAAATCCTGGATGGCTAAAGTTATGGCTTAAGAACTCGTCATAATATAACATAATAGTTCAATAGTTTGTACTGAAATTTTTTGAAGAAGCGGGCAGGATATTTAAAAGCAATATTTGCAGGTTATTCTTGTGCTTTGAATTTTGGGGCAAATTTACCATAATTTACGAGGAGAGAATCTTCTATTACAACGAAATGATGTAGAAAGTAACAAAAATTCAACATTAAGATTTTAGTTCCATATTTAGGAAATAATTCTTTAACATCCCTAAAACTGTTTAATTAAATTAATGTGTTTATAGGAAATATTTCGTTAAACTTATTTTTGCTAAGTGTGCAATATGTTTTAATAAAGTTATTATTTGTCTTTCAGTCTCTTTTCTGCTACAACGGAGTTCTTAGTTTCTATATAACAGCCTTCTAGTATTTTTTGTGGGGACGCTATTTCATTTTTGTAATCAAAATGCGTTACAGCTTTTAATAATTACGCATCAGAACAACGTTAAAGTCCAATGATCTGCAGTTTTATATGTAATAATAAAATATCACTATAAATCCAGAATAATGTTTACAAATTATTTATCTATGCAAGTTTCTTCTGTATAAAATAGTTTCTCTCTCATTTACCGGACTCATCAATCCCAATTATTTCAAATTTATGTGCATATATTTGATGAAATTTTGAGCATGTTCATTAAGGATGCCATGTTTAAATAAAACGAAAATGATGCAAATGCTTTTTTATCAAGCGTAAGGTTTCCTCAAAGGTGTTTGAACGTTGTACCTAGCTATATTATTATTTCTTAATTCCGTTTGAGGATGACATATACAAAATCATGCTCCTCCACCTATACTTCTCAAACCAAAACCATAGTTTAAAAGAGAAACTACCAGCTAAGACGTATGAGTTGAGGGGAAGTTGCAGTAAAGACTACAATAGCATATTCCGGTTCTCATAATTGTACCTATCTTTGCGTTTTGTACTGTAGATTTTTGCAGTCATACTGAAAATCCAAGTCTTTGAATTCTTATTTATTTTTAACTTTAAGGAAATGAAATTAAAATTGATATAATTCTGTATTTTTAGTGCTAAAAACTTGCTTGCTATCTTATTTTAAAGCACATTAGTCCTTAAAAACGTTTAAAATTTAAAATTAATTCAAATACTTTACTATTTTGATTTTTCATTTATATGAGAGAATGTTTAGGCTTTTTTCTAATATTTTTCAAGTTTTAATATTGTACGAAAAATATTAATAAATATGAACAATTTTTTCACTACTCATTATCATAAATAAATAAAAACTTCTCAAAGAGTTTCTTTAATTATATTAAGTTATTGCAATATTAAATTTAAAACAATTCAACAATTAAAAATTACAATTTTCATATTCTGTGATAAATGCATTCGAACATTATGCCAGGTACCGTCGCGTCTTTGCTAACATAAGTTGCTTTGAAGCATATACTTTTAAATTAAGCAATTTTTTTCAAACTCTAATATTCTGATAGCCGTTCTTTTAATCGTATTCATTATTATGTCACCTGAATTTTTTTAATTAACTGGTAAAAGTAAGAATGATTTCTAATAAATTAGGTTTTTGTAAATGCATTTAACGCAGGAATTTTTTATTATTTATATTTTAATGTTGAAATTGAGTAGTAGATATAATTTTATTTGGTGATTTTCGCATAAGTGAACTGTATGTCTGTCTTCCTGATGAAATCTATGGACTTGTTTTTGAATAACACTTACTGAAGAAATTAATTTTCCGATTTTTATTGACGTTTCCAGAAAATCAAAATTTAGACAATGACTTTTGAAAGGGCCAATTAATCCTATAACAGAAAGACTCCATAAAAATCCTCATAATACATGCGTATAAGACACCGTCATCCTCGTGATGTATGCGTAATCCAAACTAGAAATTGAGAAGTGCTTTTGCCATGTTGGCAAAAACACGCTGTCTTCTTCACCTTGGGTAAGGTCATTCTACATGCAAAGAAAATTGATTGTCCCAGATGAAGCTAAGCAAACAGATATTTAGAAAAAATGCAAATTGCACATGAACTGAACACAGTAATTTTCAAAGATAAGGGAGTAATTTTATTTTTAGAATAACTCAGTATAAGAAAGCTTTTGTGATGCTCCAACATATAACTTACAGCTAAATGTGTGGAACTTGAGAACTGGTAAGCGAATAATTGCTTTATTTCAGTAGACAGAGAACAGAACTCAGGAAGGGTTAAATACCCTTTATTTCTCAAAACAAGAATTTAACAGTTGACTCCTTCTCGGGGTTTACAGCAAAGCCTCCACTTGGGCTTGAACTCAGGAATACTAAGAAATAAAGCTTAACTAAAAAGATTAAAAACTAAACTTAACTAAAAAGATATAGCCGAAGCTATCAAGATTCTGCAGGAGTTGGCCCCTTAAAGCTAACTAAACGGTGAAGCTATCAAGGGCCTAAAGTACGGCCGAGCGTAAAAATAGCTTTAGAGAGAGAGTAGCCTAAAAGGCGAACGCGTGCTAATCAGAATCTCTGGCTCTCTAACGAAATCAGTAGAATTTCAACTTTCTCTTCCTTCATTGCATTTAACCGCAGTTCTGAAAACACGTTCTGGCAGGAAATTGTAAGCTAAGATAGGACAGGGGCTTTAACTAAAAATAACTATTAGCAACTTAGGATAAACCTTACACTTTATAAATCAATATTTTGTTACGTAATAGTAATTCGCACAGTCTAAGTATGTTAAACTTTTTTCAGTCGTGACCCCTTTTTATTATTGAGATTTTTTTTTTTTTTTTTTTTTTTTCGACCGCAGAACCCCATAATATTTACAAAAATTTTGTGAGACTTCATAAGCATTGCGCAAATTCGACACATGCGTCAGTGAAACTGTAAATTGTTTCACTTGTACTGTAATATACTATTGCAGTTTTAGGTCATTAACTTTAATTTCTAATTTTAATATATAGAACAATGTGAAAATTTTAAATAAGTAACAGACGAAATGACAGCATCACGTGCAAAGTAAGTAAAATGAGCATTTATATTATAAAAGGAATGCGTCGAAACGGTTTCGCTTTTTCTTTGTCTGTATTTTCTTATCTTTATCTATTTTCAGATACATTGTATAAAAATATTTAGTGATTGTAAAATTATTATAATAAGTTAAGGAAATATCAAAACTTCTAAACGTTTTGGCAACCACCATGGGGGTTGCGACCCACAGTTTAAGAAACTCTGGTCTAAGTTATGAAACTTTGAAATTTAATTTCTGAAGGTTCATTCTAGAGATTTTAATGTTGTGTTAAATTTTAATCTCGACCAACATGTTATGATACAAAATAGTTTTAATCTGTTCATCTCGTAATTTTTGCGCTTTGTGGATCATTTGCTTACTAATCTTTATTTTAGCGGCTTTAATATAAACTTAGTTACGGTATTATAATTATAGCTTTCTACAGTTAATGAGACATAGAGCTTAAGCTATTAAACCTATAAGTATTAACTCCATATTTAAGATAACTTCGCCTAAATTTTAAAAACTCCCCTTTTAATATTTTATAAATTTCTATAAATAGTTTCTTCGAAAGTATATATATATAACATCTTTTTAAACAAATTAAACATCATTAGAGCTGTTTAATTCCATACAGTTTTGTAACTGCATGTATCGGCTTACCTCTTGGTAACTGTTTATGTTTAAAGAATAATTTACATTCATATGAATAGGATAATTTCGAAAAACTTGAGATTCAACGGATTAGAGTGTCAAAATATCAACATTTTGAAGATAAAGACACTTTCGGATATTTTTCAGCTCTCGCCTGTTCATATTTAAGCTTTGTAATTTATATTTGGGACAATAATTCATTTCTCTCTTGAGAAAGAGAGAGTTCTGAATCTTTTCCTGTGTCGTAGTGATAAAGGTAATCTTTACGAGCGTGCTCGGCTTGCAGAAAAACATCGCAATTATTATGCACAACAAGATGTGGAAAGTTGTGGTTTTATTTTTCTCAAGTGAGTACTAATATACTCTCATATTTCAGTTCAATCTGTGTAAAAATGTACCTTCCAAGCTGTTAAATACGTCCAAACTGTTAAAACATAAAAAGTAAACCAAACTATGGAAAAGAAAATTTGTAAATAGAAAATTCTGAACAAATTATCTAACTAAAGTCTGTGATTATTATCCAAAGCAAAGATCAATATAAATATATGTATACAAAGGTAAGTGAATCTTCGGGCCATTTTGTTTTATTTCACATTTCGCATAACGTTTTTATTATATTCATTTTAATTTTGGATAATCTGAATTAATGTAGCTGTTCCTGAAATGCATTTTTGGTCTTATGTTACCTGGTGTGAGTAAACCTCCAGATCTGAACATAGTGTAGATCAGATCTGCGAATTCATCGTGGTCAGGAAAGAAAGAGTAGCGCCTGTCTTTGGTCCGGACTTCCAGTAAATTATTAGGTGACAGCACTAATGCACCGATTTCCATAGTAATTTTTACGAAGAATAACCCCGGAGACGGATCCTAATGTCTCCCACCCCTCTTTCGTTATCCTTATGTGCCTTCTCCAAGATTCGAACCCGAGTCCAATGATATGGTAATCGGCATCGCCAGACACCATATTGAGCAGAGTGGCTCACAATATACAATCATCCCTTTTGTACAATGTATTAAAGAAAGGACATCTCTTGCCTTTGATTTACATCATTTGCCCTAGCCGAGACTCGAACCCTGAACGTCTTGAATACGCGTCAAGTAAGCTTCCAATTACCCCACGAAGGCATGCTAGAAGGAGGGAGAAAATACATAAAATATCTAAAAAGAAATACCTAATACAGCAAATTACGATTTTTTTCCCTATAACGTAAATTTTTAATTACATTTGCACCCACTAAATGAAAGTGTGCTTTGCAATCTTAAATATAAGGCTCTACTTTTAAACTATCGCAGATCAGCATTATGCTAACCAGGATTAAAAATTATTAATATTGGATTTTTTTTATATTCATGTAAAATGAAGCAGCACGTTGTACTGCTTCTGTCTTATTCTCAAGATTTGGCAAAAGTAGAGTAACAACCTGTTACTTTCATTACAAACGGTCATCAAGCCGAATATATGCCAGCTCGAAACTCTGTGATTTTTATTTATGAGGCTGCCTGAATTCTCGGGTACATAAAGAGCTCATCAAACATTACTAGCAATGTTAAGAGATGTTACGCAATGGCATACATAGTAATTCCTATACAAATGCCTATATTGTTGTTCATGGAGTCTTAGATAGTCTTCAGGCATTGTTTAAAATGAAATGTGTTTGAAAACGCATTGTAACATAGACATGTAGCATGTAATATAGCATATGCTGTTACCTAAAAAAACAAAAGATATTTGTTTCCACGTCTTCAAGTGCTTAAAGCAGCAGCAAAATTATCGGAAATAGCTATACTCCGATTAGTTCGGATAAACAGATTTCCGCTATTTCTGTTTTTGAAAACTAAGGAGGTAGTAAATAGCTACTGCTTTCACTAATTCTATTGCTACTTCAGTTCTTGTGTTTCTTATGTTTTGGCTTTGGATTTTCTCTGTTTTTTACATTTTTTCCTGAGTCTTTTTAATTAATTTCATATGCTGATACATTCACTTTAAGCAGGGGGTTTCTTGCTTTTTTCCTACTAATTTATGTGTTGAGATTTTGTTTTGTTTTTGAATTTATCACTGTCCATCAGTAATATCAGTGGATAAGACCACTAAGCAGAAGTAGTTTGACCTCGGCTCAAATCCCACTGGAAGAGTTGAAGGCATGTCACAATTTTTCTATGCGTAATGTAAATAGTACAAGCCAATTTCCAGTTAGTCCTGATTTCCTTTAAAAGAATCCCCCTCAGGGGTATCCCTTTTCTTAGGCGAATAGTCCTAGCATGTTTTGCTTCAGCCAATTAACCAGACTCAATTCCATTCTAGAAAGTTTGCTTTGTTATTTATTATTTCTTGTTTACAATTAATATTTGGCATTTGCAAAGTTTTTTACTTTTAATTTTGACTTTTATTTTAGCTTTTTATTCCATGCTGTTAGATTGCCATTGACAACAGTATTACGAATTAAGTTAAAACCCCTATTAAACCATATCAAAAATTTCCAGCTTATTAAAATCCAAACTAAAAACCACTAATTTTAACTACTGCTGTTAATTCTGCTACATTTTAAAATCTTTCTAAAGCTGAAAACATTAGCAATTCAGTTTGTCCTGTTGTGTCTAATTAAGAAACTGTTTCATATCACTTAGCAAAATATTTAACTGAACATATTTTCTCCATTAAATTTTATTAACATTCCAACACTCTGAAACAGTCATTTGAATTTATCAATAAACTCAAAAATATATCTTCCTAGAATTCAGTCATGATATCTTTTAATGTTAAACCACCTTTTATTAAGGCTTTGGTTGAAGGGGTATATGACAGAAGATGCATAATAAAGTAAGTAGTCAAAACTCTCAAAAGTCCAAACGACTATCCATAAGTAAAGAGTAAATTGCTTTTGATGAAGAGGAAAACAAATCACAAAAAAAGTTTCAAAACATTTGTTCAAGAGCAAATTATTGAAGAATGCTCAAGAGAAAACTAACAAAAGAAGAAAAAAGGAAAAGAAAACAGAAAAAGTAAAGAAAAATGAAAAATCTAAATCAAGATCACTTCGTTTCTCAAAATAATTACAGGTATTGAGCTGAAGAATTAGTTTTCGAAACTCATTCAGTCCACTATTTGCCGGAACTAACATGCATTGTTTTAAAACAAGTTATTTAAAATCTTTCATTACCTTACATTTTGCGTTTGGTACGCTAACGACCCTCTTGCACTTTTTGATGACAAAAAGAGGACTTAACAAATGTTCTACTTCTCATGCATTCTACTGATCCCTCCAATCAGTTCATTTGCCCCTTTCCATAAAATTATAAGTACAAACAATAAATTTAAGTTCAGCCCCAAGGCATATGAAAAACATTTTTCTCCTTCATGCTAAATCTTGTCATTTGGCTAAACAAAAACAAAGAAAAGGTTTTTTTAATTTTTTTAAGTTTTTCATGTACTTAAAATTTGTTTTTCACAATCCAGTCTTTGTCATGAACTTAATTATTTTATAACTGTTGCTACTGCGAAGCTTTTCTCCTTCTGTTGGCCTAAATCTTTTATCTTATTACCCTTGTGTAGAACATTTTCCAGTTAAAAACAATCTCGTTACCAATCTCATTTTTTCTCTTAAATAAAAAAAATTTTAAAAAAGAGACACGTTCTTTTTTTCTACAAGTTGGAACTTCCAATACATTTCCCCTCTTCTTAATAAAATTTATAATTCAGTTTCTAAAATCCTTCAACTTTTTATTCCTGACGAATGAACAAAATTCTTCTACAGTGTGATGTAACAAATACCACTAAACTAACACAGTGTTAAAATCTGGTCCACCGACGGCCGAACGATAAAAAAGCTGAGTACTGGTAAAGCAACCCGGGTTCGATTCCAGGCAGCTGGCTACGTGCATGGGCGTTTTCGGAGATTTCCCTTTATGTAATATGGATACAAATCAGTTTCACTTAAAAAGTCCTCCACGAAACCATCCCTCTCCTTAGGCAGATAACCTCGTGTGCCTTATATAATCAAACAAACCAGTGTTAAAATCTTACATTAAAAAATATAAATATTGTTTCAAAAAAGGAGAATTAGATAAATCTTTCTCACTGATAATGGTTCGGGACACAACTCATCACGTAAATTTTTCAATAAACTGTTCATCAGAATCTTAATACGTTTTATACTAATTAAATAGCCATAAGTTTTATAACTAATTAAATAATGCTGTATAATCAAATCATCGTTTATTTTTGTAAAACACATATTCTTTAGTAAACGCTGTGTTACACTAAGATAAATGCTGAAAAGGCATGCCAACGACAATAATATCTAAAATTTTATAATTATAGTTTTCACAGTTCGCATGAATCTCTTAAACAGTTATTTAAACCTGCTGCAATATAAATTATAGGTACTGCCTCTTCTACTGTTATCTCTTATGTCCTTGATGTTACTTCCGCATATTTTAGAGATTATCAATTTTAACTCAAAACTAGTAATCTTAATTGTTACATACCGGGTGATCAAAAAGTCAGTATAAATTGGAAAACTTAATAAATCACGCAATAATGTAGATAGAGAGGTAAAAATTGACACACATACTTAGAATGACATGGGGTTTTATTAGAACCAAAAAAAAAAAAGTTCAAAAAAAGTACTCTTATCGGGCCTTTTTTCTTCGAGGAAATGCGTGATTCTGGTTTTGTAACTGCTACCGTGACGGGTGAGAGGTACGCCGATAAGTACAGAATCGCATCGTTCCCAGCCTGGCTGAAAACACTGTTGGAACGTACGATTTTTATGCAGGATGGCGCTCCACCCCATATTGCTAGAAGCGTGAAAGATCTCTTGCGCGCGTCGTTTGGTGATGATCGTTGCTCAGCCGCCACTTTCTCATGCTTGGCCTCCAGTCCCCAGACCTCAGTCCGTGCGATTATTGGCTTGGGGTTACCTGAAGTCGCAAGTGTATCGTGATCGACCGACATCTTGGGATGCTGAAAGACAACATCCGACGCTAATGCCTCACCATAATCCGACATGCTTTACAGTGTGTTCACAACATATCCTAACTACAGCTATTGTTGAGGAAGATGTGAACATATTCAGCATTTCCTGTAAAGAATCATTTTGCTTTGTCTTAATTTGTTATGCTAATTATCTTTCCTGATCAGATTATGCTTTTCTAAAAAAACCCATGTTTTCTAAGTATGTGTGTCATTTTTTTTTACTCTCTAGCACATTATTCCGGATTAAGTTTTCAAATTTATACTGACTTTTTGATCACCCGGTACATTAACGATCACAGTCAGCATTAGAAATGCAGTCTTCTCGGTTAACTTGCCGAATAAGTTTTCAAATAGCCTATTTCTAAACGATTC